CCAAACATTTAAAGAAGAATTAATACCTATTCTTCTGAAACTGTTCCAAAAAATAGAAATGGAAAGAAAACTTCCAAACTCGTTTTATGAGGCCACCATTACCTTGATCCCACAATCAAAGAACCCACCAAAAAGGAGAATTACAGACCAATATTCTTGATGAACATGGATGCCAAAATTCTCATCAAAAATACTAGCCAATAGGATCCAACAGTACATTCAAAGGATTATTCACCAGGACCAGGTGGGATTTATCCCTGGGCTGCAAGGTTGGTTCAACATCTGCAAATCAATCAATGTGATACAATCCATTAATAAAAGAAAGAACAAGAACCATATGATTCTCTCAACAGATGCAGAAAAGGCACTTGATGAAGTACTGCATCCTTTCTTAATCAAAACTCTTCAGAGTATAGGGATAGAGGGTACATACCTCAAAATCATAAAAGCCATCTATGAAAAACCCACAGCAAATATCATTCTCAATGGGGAAAAACTGAGAGCTTTCCCCCTAAGGTCAGGAATATGGCAGGGATGTCCCGTATCACCACTGCTATTCAACATAGTACTAGAAGTCCTAGCCACAGCAATCAGAGAACAAAAAGAAAGAAAAGGCATCCAAATCAGCAAAGAAGAAGTCAAACTCTGTTTGCAGATGATATGATACTTTATGTGGATAACCCAAAAGACTCCACCGCAAAAATGCTAGAACTCATACAGGAATTCAGTAAAGTGGCAGGATATAAAATCAATGCACAGAAATCAGTGGCATTCCTAAACACCAACAACAAGAGAGAAGAAAGAGAAATTAAGGAGTCGATCCCATTTACAATTGCACCCAAAACCATAAGATACCTAAGAATAAATCTAACCAAAGAATCAAAGAATCTGTACTCAGAAAACTATAAAATACTTATGAAAGAAGACACAAAGAAATGGAAAAACGTTCCATGCTCATGGATTGGAAGAACAAATATTGTGAAGATGTCAACACTACCTAGAGCAATCTACACATTTAATGCAATCCCTATCAAAATACCATCAACTTTTTTCAAAGAAAACTCCATCCAAATGGCCAACAGACACATGAAAAAGTGCTCAACATCACTTGGCATCAGGAAAATACAAATCAAAACCTCAATGAGATACCACCTCACACCAGTCAGAATGGCTAAAATTAACAAGTCAGGAAACGACAGATATTGGCAGGGATGCGGAGAAAGGGGAACCCTCCTACACTGTTGGTGAGAATGCAAGCTGGTGCAGCCACTCTGGAAAACAGTATGGAGGTTCCTCAAAAAGTTGAAAATAGAGCTACCATACGACCCAGCAATTGCACTACTGGGTATTTACCCCAAAAATACAAATGTAGTGATCCGAAGGGGTACGTGCACCCCGATGTTTATAGCAGCAAAGTCCACAATAGCCAAACTGTGGAAAGAGCCAAGATGTCCATCGACAGTTGAATGGATAAAGAAGATGCAGTATGTGCGTGTGTATATATATATATACATATATGTGTGTGTGTGTGTATACACACACACACACACACACACACGCAATGGAATATTATGCAGCCATCAAAAGGAATGAAATCTTGCTATTTGCAACAACGTGGATGGAACTGGAGGGTATTATGCTGAGCGAAATAAGTCAATCAGAGAAAGACGTGTAGCATATTATCTCACTGATATGAGGAATTTTTAATCTCAGGAAACAAACAGGATTGCTGGAGTGGTGGGGTGTGGGAGGGATGGGGTGGCTGGGTGATAGACATTGGGGAGGGTATGTTCTATGGTGAGCGCTGTGAATTGTTTATGACTGTTGAATCACAGACCTGTACCTCTGAAACAAATAATACATTTTATGTTAAAAAAAAGAAGAAGATAGTAGGAAGGGAAAAATGAAGGTGGGAGAATCGGAGGGGGAGAGGAACCATGAGAGACTATGGACTCTGAGAAACAAACTGAGGGTTCTAGAGGGGAGGGGGGTGGGGGGATGGGTTAGCCTGGTGATGGGTATTAAAGAGGGCACATATTCAATGGAGCACTGGGTGTTATACGCAAACAATGAATCATGGAACACTACATCAAAAACTAAGGCTGTAATGTATGGTGATTAAGAGAACATAATAAAATTAAAAAAAAATCAATGTAGCTTACCAATGTAACAGAATAAAAGAGAACTATAGGGTCATTTCAGTACATGTAGTGAAAAAGCATCTTGATAAAATTCGATACCACTTATGAATAAAATAGAAGGAGCTTCCTTAGTCTGACTGATGGCATCTATTAAAAAAACCCAATAGCTAGTAGCATTTTACCTAATGATGAAACACTGAAAACACTTTCCCCAAGATTCGGAATAAGTTAAAGATGTCCATCCTCATTACTCTTCAACATTATATGAAAGGCCCGAGCCAGTGCAATAAGAAAAGAAATAAAAATAAAAAGATGGAAAGAAGGAAAACTATTGTAAATTGCAGATGACATAATTATTTATGCAGAAAATTTGCATATATTAAAGGTTACCAGTGAATTTACATATATATCTAAAATGTACAGTATTTTAAAAGTTCTATTTTTTCTTTTAAAAGTTCTTTTTCTAAGTATAGAAGCAAACAAATGGGAAATAAAATTTTAAATTAAAATTTTAAAAATAATCCCATTTCCAATAGTGCCAGAAAACATGAAGTCCTTAGAAATGAATCTAATGGAAGGTGTGCAAAACCTCAACAACTAAAAACTATAAAACACTGTAGAGAAAATTAAGGAAAACCTTTAAAAATAGAAAGTATATCTTTTTAGATTTATGGTTTGGATGTGTTAATATTTCCTGAATTGAGTCAAACTATAATTCCAGCAGGCATATTTTAGAAATAAAAATTGACTAGCTGATTCAAAAATTTATATGATAATGCAAAGGACCTAAAATAGCCCCAAATCCTGAAACAGAAGAATAAGGCTGGTGGCCGTATACAGTCTCACTTCAAATCTTGCTGTAAAGCTAGAGTGACCTGATATTGGCATAAGTATTGACAAAAAGATGGAACAGAATAGAGTCCAGAAATAGTCCATACTAACACAGTCACTTAAGTTTTTACAAAGGTGCCAAACAAATTCAATGGGGAAGAATCTTTTTAAAAAAATGGTGTTACAACAACTGTACATTCATATGGGGTGAGGTGGGAAAGAAGCTCAAACCTTACATCACACCTATACAAACAAAAATGAATTAAGTATAACATAAACTAAAAAATAAAACCAAAAATATACAGCTTCTAGAAGAAAACACAGGAAAATTTCTTCACAATCGTAAAGATTTCTTCAGCCAGATACAGAAATCAAGTCATAAAAAGGAAAAATTAGTAAATTTTATCAAAAATAAAAATTTCTGCTCACTTTAGGTTGAAGAATCATAATCAAATACATTAAAAATAAGTTTTTGCATTTCTTTCTATGCTTAACTGCATTTACAGTTATCAACATATACATGAAGAATGTCTGTTCCTAAAATGAATGGAGTTGTTTGTTTTTAAAACATTTTGTTGAAGTTTAATAAACAGAGAAAAGCACACAAACCGTAAGCTCACAGCTCAGTGAGTTCTCACACAGTAAACCCATATAACCAGACCCAGAACAAGATCAAAAAACAGAACATTACTAGAACCCTGAAAGTTCTCTTGTCTCCCCCTTCCGTCACTCCCTGACCCCTCCAAAGGTAATCTCCATCATGACATCTAACATCACCAACCACGGTTTAATGGATTTTAATTCTTTAAACCTAACTAGAATATGTAGAACTGTAGATGTTGAAGAACTGATAGTTAAGGTACAGATATCCTCCCTCTAGATTCAAGAACATTAAAAACCTATCAATTACTTGAAATATAATTTCCAACATGGCATACCTTTGGTTAAGAAAGAATGCCCTCCACCTCACCTCTACTCTTCCCTCATGGAGGTAATTCTTACGTGTCTTCCAAAACCTGCAACCTTCCTTGATTCTCTCAGTTACATGTAGATAATTTTCTCATTCTCCATACTTCTATCATTGTGCTTAGTACACTATTATTGTAAGATTTATGAGTGTCTTTCCTCATCAGTGTGTAAATATTTAAGGCCAGGGACTCTCACTTGTTCTGTTTCTTTACTTTTACCTACTCTAGTTCCCATCAACATGACACACAACAAATGGCTGATAACTGAAAACCCAGTGGTATAGAATCTGTTAAACGGGTAAAGATATTTAAATTAATATACCCAGGTAGATACAAGGGCTAAAAATGACAAAAGCAAAGATTATAATATATATTCTAGAATATTTTGATTATAGCCAGAAAAGATAAATTTGGATCCACAGTGTTAAAATAGTAAAAACTGAAGTAAAATCTCATGGAAGTAATACTCAGTTTAAATGTGTGAATAATTATTTAGTAATGCATTAACATGAATATTTTCTTTTGGAATCAAAATGAGATTCTAATACCATATGGAAAGCTATGCTTCCAAAAGAAAACAGCACGTATTTTTACATATTCAAATGAACAGACAGATAAAAAGGAAAATCAGTAACACAATCTCATTTTAAGTTCACATAAGTAATGACATCAATCTCATCTTAATAAAATAGAAATATTAATTTTAATGAATATACAGATTCAAACAAATTTACTTTTATTGTACCCAATGAAATAACAAGAATTACTGGACCCTTAATATTTAGTGACATTTATTGGAAAAATATACATTTATATAAACAACTAAGATTGACTTACTCCCAAATAAATGAATTTTTACAGTTATTTCTGCTAGAACTACATACTACATGCCACCTTTATTTCTCTTAGGAAACAAATATATTTTTCTATAGATCGTCAGTATGAAAAATATTTACCAACTTTCAATTAATGTGTATATGTGGCAAATACAATTCAGAGACCTACATAGTTGACACTCAAGTCAATTGATAATAATGATTATAAAAAGAACTTCACTTACTGCTATTTCTCTACATGCCGACATAGAGATCCCAGTTCCTTCTATTTGTTTTAAAGCATAGTCTTTATCATCTTTCCTGTAAAAACAAAGTTATTTTAATATTTGGATAAAACTAAATTTATGTGCATTTTTAATAAAATATAATACATAAATCACATACTTAATATCTTTTGACACCTTTCACATGTAATCACATAGTATCATATAGGAAAAAGGTTTTATATAATCTAGTTCAATCCCATTATTTGATGAGGAAAGTTAGACTCCAAGTAATAAAGACTTGTCCAAGGCTCCATGGTTTGGGAAGACAAAGATTCAGAAATAGGTTCTTCCTGTTCTAATACATATACATTTCCTTTCTATATATGCATGTGTGTGTTTGTGTGTGTGTGTGTGTACTGTACACTCGGCACGCACACACACACAACTTGCTTTCTAAAACCCTTTCAGATAGGGGCGCCTGGGTGGCTCAGTTGGTTGAGCGACTGCCTTCGGCTCAGATCATGATCCTGGAGTCCCGGGATCGAGTCCCGCATCAGGCTCCCTGCTCAGCGAGGAGCCTGCTTCTCCCTCTGACCCTCCCCCCTCTCATGTGCTGTCTCTCTCATTCTCTCTCTCTCAAATAAATAAATAAAATCTTTAAAAAAAAATAAAATAAAATAAAACCCTTTCAGATATTGATGGGTCAAAAAAATTAGGGTCAAAAAATTAAGAAATGAATGTATCACTAAAGTACAAAATGGTGATAATTTCAAACAAATTATAGTCCTCATATTCCCCAATACCTCCGAAGAGAGTCGCTCAACATGTGTTTATTGAGCACTTACTATGTATTCAGACCTGTGCTCAGTACTGGGGATACAGCAAGTTCCTTCTTCTATGGAGCTTTCTGTGTCTACTGGCCTAGACAGATAAATAACTAACATACCACAATACAGGATGATAAGTGCTATGACAGGGCAAGTGCAAACCACAGAGGTTACTCAATGGTTACTCTGGTAGAGGACCTAAGCAAAAAATTCTCAAAAGAAGCACCATTCAGATGAGGCCTAAACAGTAATTCTCAAAATTTTTGACTCAGGACCCCTTTACTCTCTTGGATATTACTGAAGACTCTCAAGAGTTTTTGTTATATCTATCACTATTTACCCTATTAGATTTTTAAAATGGAACTTTTAAAAACATGGAATGCAAAAGCATATATCTATTAGCCACCAGAGCAATGATATCATCAGGTTATGACACGTTTGGAAAAAACCCACTGTACATTCATGAGACAGTGAGAAAAGGAAATGCCGATGACCCGTGAGCAACATGGGTTTGTACTGCATTGTCCACTTACACAGAGATTTTTTTTTTTGATAAATACAATACAGTACTATAAGTGTATTTTATGATTTTCTTAACACTTTTTTGCAAGCTTACTTTATTGTAAGAATACAGTATATAACACATGTAAATATGTATTGGGCGCCTGGGTGGCTCAGTTGGTTAAACGACTGCCTCTGGCTCAGGTCATGATTCTGGAGTCCCAGGATCAAGCCCCGCATCGGGCTCCCTGCTCAGCGGGGAGTCTGCTTCTCCCTCTGACCCTCTCATGCTTTCTCTCTCTCTCAAATAAATAAATAAAATGTTTAAAAAAATATATATTAATCTACTGTTTATCTATAAGGCTATTGTAGTTAAGTTCTTGGGGAAGTAAAAGTTATATGTGAATTTTAGACTGTAGTGATAGTGGTGCGCTATCAGCACCCACCCCAAAACCCCACGTTATTTAAGGGTCAACTGTAATATCATAGCACTACTATGAAAATAGTGTCGACCTTATGGGCCCTCTGAAAGAACTGTGTGTGTTGGCGGGGGGGGGGGGGGGGTAACTAGCAGTTCCCAGCAGACTTCAAGAACTGCTGGTGTGTGTGTATGGGGGGGGGGATGAGTTAAGGGGGAAACACAATGTGAAGACAAATGAAGTGAGAGAAAACCATTTGAGGGTGAACAGACACAGTAAACAATGGGGGATGAGGCTGATGGCATTAATTAGGAACCACAACATAAAAGTCTTTTTACTCCAAGAATAACAGGAAGCACTCCATTTAAGATTTCTTTAATAAGAAAATACCAATTAGGGATGCCTGGGTGGCTCAGTCGGTTAAGCATCTGCCTTCAGCTCAGGTCATGATCCCAGGGTCCTGGGATCGAGCCCCACATCAGGCTCCCTGCTCAGCGGACAGTCTGCTTCTCCCTCTCCCACTCCCCCTGCTTGTGCTTTCTCTCTCTCTCTCCCTCAAACAAATAAAATCTTAAAAAAAGAGAAAATATCAGTTATATTATATTTGAAAAAAACATCTTTGGCTGCCTTTTGAATGCTTAGGGGGAATAAATAAGAGCAGGAGGCAGAGAAGCTCCTGTTAAAAGAAGTTAAAAGTAAACAGTGTTAAAATTACTCAGTTGAGAGATGATGGTGGTAGCTGCAGAATGGTGGTTGCCATACGGGGTAGACAGACTGGAGTGGAGCGATATAAGGCAGAACCAGTAGCACCTGGTGACTGGGCAGAAGGAGGAAGAGTCAAAGAAATGATTTCTGCCCTGGCAATAGGTTAACAGCAGTATTACTGACTGAAATAAAAAACAGCAGGAGAAAAAGATCTGAGGGAACAAAAAGATGATAGTTCTATTCTGTGCAGGTTGAGTCTGCAGTACATACGAGACACCTAAGTAAAAATGTCAAGCTGAATAAACACAGCTAAAGCTCAAGAGAAAGCTGAAGACACTGATTTACTATAATCAGCATATATACAGTAACTGAAGCCATGAGAGTAAAGTGATACCAAAGAGGACTGCCAAAAAAAAAAAAAAAAAAGATTTTGAAAAAGGGCAGAATAGTAAATAGTATCACAAGCTGCAAAGAAAGCTAGTAAGGTGAGGACGGAGATGTGTCCACTGCATTTAGCAATGATGAAGTCACCAGACAGTAGACGAGGCAAAAATAGTTGGAGTGAAAAATAGTTGGAGTGATATAGTGGCAGAATGTGTACAGCAGAAGGCTGAGGAATGAATGGGGCATAAGCAAACTAAGACAGTGAGTGTAGGTATTTGAAGGGGAAAAGGATGTCGGTAGCTGGAGTAATACACAAGGTTAAAGAATTATTATTATTTTAAGATGGAAAAGACTTGAATAGGTTAAGTACTGACACAAAGAACCCAGAGAAAAGGAGTTGCTGATATGAGAGAGAGAGGTAAAAATTTAGAGAGCAAAGACTGAAATGCTGGGGAAAAATTAGATAGGGTTAGAAGGAGAAATATTTTTAGCGAGAGTTCTCATCTTGATGGCTTTCATATTTTCCTGATGTTGGAAATTAGGTCATAAACTAAAAGTAAGGGCAAAGGTGGTAGAATTCAAGATCTGAATAGAGTGAAAGAAGATTTGGTTGAATAAATGAGTAACTCCTTATAAAATCAATTCATTTAAGTTCATTTAATACTTTATTATCTTAAATTATTAAAACTTACATAGCTTTATCTTTGTTTTCACAACATATTTACACCAAATCCTTAGCTGTGGGAAAAAAATCCCAATTCCAACATTATTTTTCAGAAAAAAGATCTGTTTTACAACATTCAGCTTTATACTATATTTTCTAGTAAAGTACTCATTATTTTAAAAATACACTAAGTGTATCTATACTTAATGTTCACTAAGTCTGAATAATTTCTGAAAGACTTAAAAAAACGGAGTTAAAGAGGGTGACACAAAAGATAAAATGAAGTCTAGGGGCACCTGGGTGGCTCAGTCCGTTGAGCAACAGACTCTTGGTTTCGGCTCCAGTCCTGATCGCAGGGTCATGAGCCCGAGCCCTGAGTAGGGCTGCACACTCAGCAGGGAGTCCACTTGAGATTCTCTCTCCCTCTGTCCCTCCCTCTGCTCTCTCTCTCTCCCTCAAAATAAATAAATATATCTTTAAAATAAATAAATACATACATATAAACATACATAAATAAAATGAAGTCAGCATCAGAATAAGTCTATTAGACCCTTTCACATGCATGGTACTGGTTAACCTAGGAGTGTAAGAAATTGTTATATGTACTATTTGAGGATAGCATCTTAGATCTGAGCACTCTAAGGAGAAAGAGAGTGCTGGGAAAGAAAATAAATTAAATCAAAGGCTTACCCATTCACCTCCTTAACAATGACCCTGAATTTCTCTTATTTATAAATGGCCAAGTTTCTATAATATAAATGTCTTCTCAATGAACTGAAAAATTCTCATCTGCAGATAGTCCTCTCCCCCATCCCAAGTAATTTTATATCTTATATTTTATAAAAGTAAATGATGAGAAAGAAAGGTGAAATGGTAGAATAAAAAAACTGAAGATGTTTGATTATCAGAAAGGCAACCTCCTCTTGAAAATCACCGAATATAATTACCATAATATAATAGTGCTTTGTGGTTTACAGAGCACATTTATTTATATATCCGTCTACACAGTCATAGTAAAAAGGCACATTGGAGAGGGAAAGGATTTGTTCCTGAGTTTCAGTCATGATCCAGTTGAAGTAGTCAAGCTGTATAAATAAATAATTGCAATATAGTGTTCTACGTGCTATAAATAGAGGGGATGATCAACTATAGCTTGAAGGATTGAAGCAAGATGAAAGAAATCTTCAGAAAGAGACTACCTAAGCAGGGATTCTTAAGACTTCAGAAGTCTGTCAGGAAAGGAGGGAGGAACTGGGGAGAGAAATCAGTAGTTAGAGCAGAAATCCCAGAAAGTAGGAATAGCATGTACAAAAATACAGAAGCACAGGGAAGGTGTGACATGCTCAGAGAATAGCAGAGAGTAGCAGTAGCAGTTTAACAGCATGAAACATGCTGACAGCTCTGAGGATGGATGTGATTTTAGGAATAGGCAGAGGTAAGATGGGAGGGGGTCTTCTATGTCAGCTGTCTTCAAAGAGGGGTATAGAGTTTATGTGATGTGCCTCACTTCAGGAGAGTAAAAAACATACAAGTATGAGAAGAAAATAATTACATTAAAAAATAATAAAGCTGAGGGAAAATATGTTATGTGAAA